TAGTTCATGAAATTCCAGTTCATTTTATACTAGAGATTTTGGTCGTCTGCAGTGATCAGTTAATGAGCTGTTCTGATCATCACTGTGCTCTACAAGATCAAGATCATCAAGAATTCAGGTAAGTCATTTACTGTATGTATTCATTTGACTGCACAAGTTATTGAAACTGAATGGTATAACTTCACTTTTTCCCCAGAGGACTGTAATAATGTTTGTATTGTATTAATGTCTCTCAAACACACCCCTTTCTACGGTCAAAAATAGATAAAACAAAGATTACTGGAGTATGTTTTACAAGAAAATACTATTTCAGTCTTTCAGAGTACAAAAAAAAAATGCATTTAAATCAATGTGTAACAACATTTCTTTGTAATTAATTTAAGCAAATTGTAAGTGAAAATTATTTCAATTATTTCAAAGTTTGTTTGTTTTGTTTTTTCAGTGTACAAAGAGCAACGAATTGAACCCGGACAAATCTGATCTGGCCAGTTTGTGACTGCAGAGCAACATGACAGAGGAATATACAATATACCCTGACTACTACAACAACTACTATGAAGAACTGTTGTCTCAGAGAGGAGGTGGCGAAAGTCGGATCCATTGCTATGCCACTTTTTTTACATATTCGTGGTTGTGTTGAGCTGCATCTGTAACATACTAGTTCTGGTTTTCCTGGCACTCTTCAAAAGCCTGAAATTCCTGACCAATGTTTTCATCCTCAATTTAGCTGTGTCAGATCTGCGGTTTACTTTTGGACTTCTGTTTTTGGGTTTGTACTACATCTGGAGTTGGACATTTGGAGAGGTTGGCTGTAAAGCGGTGAAGTTTTTCTTCTACTGTATGTCGGTTTTTACAGCAGCGTGTTGTTCTTGACTCTAATGACCATTCAGCGTTTTATCATTTGGATCCTGAGTGGAACGGTTGCACTGCTCGGTTCACTTGATATCAAAATCATGACAGAATCTGACAGCCAATACTGTAAATATGGCAAGTGTTGAATGGAAATCTGGCATTGCTTATTTTCAAAATGCCTTTTTTCTTCATTGCATTCCTAATCATGTTTTTTGTTATGGCAAAATACTTTGGACGATCACAAAATCACGGACTAATAAAAGATACAAGACTGTTAGACTAACATTTTTTATCGTGCTGGTGTTTTTTATCGGTTGGGATCCATATAACTTTGTCCTGTTACTAAAATCTTTGACCGACCATCCATTCACAGACTGTGAAGTAAGCATAAGAGTTGACTATGCTGCATATTATGCTTGCCAAAAGTTAGCTTTCTCACACTGTTGCATAAACCCAGCGATTTTAGTTTTTGTAGATGCATGGTTCCGTAATCGTTTTGAGCAATCCCAGGAAGATTTTGTTTAAAGATAGAAGTCTATGAATAATGTCTCAGAACTATTAACCATTTTGATGTTATTCACAATATTTTCATTTCTGATTTGTTCTACTTAATATGACAAGACAGAATCGCCTCATTTAGATAATGTTGCACAATGAAAATGAAAGATGACACACGGGGTAAATCATGCAAGTCTAAATAAACAGTTTTAAATATAGACTGTCAGGTTCAAATTCTTGTCAAAAGTACGTCCCTCTATTATTTTCTGACAGCTGTCTGAGAGAGTGGGCGGGGATTTATGACCTCAATCTGTGAATGCAGATATGATGGTTAGACTTTGTTTATGTTACACTGAGATCCGATCACAATGCATCCTCGACTACCTCTGGACAAGGACACACTCATCGGATAACACTCCAATCAAATACTTGTCTATTATGTGGACAACATCCAGATACAGTTCACATGTTAATGGGTCATTCCGTGTCAAATCAACCAGAGGTCCCCGGCTCAAATTTCTGATTTTGCTAATATTTTTTTCTGAAAAAAGATACACATGTATAGTGATGAAAGCCAAAATATTAAATGTCATGGATGAATATTTACTGAGTAATCCACTATTTTGTAGAGGGGGGTCAAAATGGCAATTTTCACTAGAGATTCAGAGCCAAATTACAGGGGGGTAAACATGACTTCAGAAAGATGGCAGCATCATATTGTTATTTTTACACAGAGATTGGTAGGTCTGTTAGTAAAATCTGTTGACTTTAGCAATCTTTGTTACATTATGTGCCAATGGTGACCATTCAAAAACGAGGAAACGGCACTTTTCAATTTTTTACTCCAAAGTTTGCATGTCTGTAACTCAAGAAGTATTAAATATATTTTAATGCCCTTTTAGATATTGGGTCTTAACAAACTTTGATTTTGGCATCTTCATTTTTAAATATACTGGGTAATTCTAAACCCTAAGTAAATGGGATCCTGGGTAATCTTATTTTGCATTTCACACTGTTCATACTTTACCTAGAGTTAACAATTAACTCTGGTCATTCATAGTCTGACGTGTCACACTGTACATTCCTAAACCCTGGGTTATTGTTATTATTTGCATATTTGCATTGTCAACAGTGATGACAAGATAAACACAAAACCACATTTGGTTTTTGACAATTGAAAATGGGTAGGATACTAAATTTGGACATGGCGCTGCACTGAGTTATTAATATCTCTGGGATTAAACCATTCAGGGCCTTAAAAATGAAGATCCCAAAAGAAAAGTTTCTTAAGAACTAGAATCTTAAATCATATTAAGATAACTTTAATACTTCTTGAGGCATGCACATTTTAGAAAAAAGAACATTTATGACACTCAAGCAGGTATGTCCTATACAACTGTTTTGATAAAGGGAAACAAGATATATTTCTAGTTTCAGCATTACTTATTCTTCAGACATTTTGCTTTAAATACAATCAGTATCAGCTGTATGTAAAGTGACCAACATTTGGTTTTCAAAAACTGAAAATGGTTAATATTCAACAATCTGAAAATGGAGCCTCGTTGAGTTGCCCATATCTCTGGGACTGAATGATGCAGGGCCTTGAAAATTAAGATTCCAAAAGAAAAGTTTATTAAGAACTATAATCTAAAATCACATTGCGATATCTTTAATACTTCTTGAGTTATATGCACGCAAACTTAGGAAAAAGAACTCAGACCAGCCAGTTGTTTTGACAAAAGGAAACAAGATACATTTCTAGTTTCAACATTATTTCTTCTTCAGATATTCCTCTATAAAAGAAAAGAAGCATCATATTTTTGCAAATTGACCCACATTGGGTTTTTGACCACTGAAAATGTGTACAATTTAATGATTTACCCCTGGAGCCAAATTGGAATTCCAATATCTCTGGAACCGAACCATGTAGGGCCTTAAAAACGAAGATGAAAGGAAAGTTTGTTGAGACTCAATATCTAAAAGGACATTAAGATATCTTAAATACTTCTTGAGTTACAGGCATGCAAACTTTGGAGAAAATTTTGAAAAGTGCTGTTTCCCCATTTTTGAATGGTCACCATTGGCACATAATGCAACAAAGATTGCTAAAGTTAACATATTTTACTAATAGATCTACCAATCTCTGTGTAAAAATAACATTATGATGCTGCCATCTTTCTGAAGTCATTTTGAACCCCCTGTAATTTGGCTCTGAATCAAAATTGCCATTTTGACCCCACTCTACAAAATAGTGGATTACTCAGTAAATATTTATCCATGACATTTAATATTTTGGCTTTCATCACTATACATGTTTATCTTTCTTCAGAAAAATAAATGAGCAAAATCAAAAATTTGAGCCGGGGAAGTTTCTGAAATTTGGTTGATTTGACACTAAATGACCCTAATGCCAAATGTAAACACTTTTGGAGCCCTTTTCTAACCCTTTTTATAAGGTTCCATAAAGAGCCATGCTTTGAAAGGGTTATCTAGAAACCTAACAGTGTTATAAAGCATGTTTATGTCCATCATGTACTTTGGTGTAACTGAGTAGGCTATCAGTTTCGCTCTACAGAGGACAAGGTTGTGGGGAGTGACAGCATCTGTCTGGGTAGAAATACACATTTGAGTTTAGAGTCACAATGCATATCTCACATTTGTTTAAGTAAATGCAATTATGATTATAAAGGCCAAAAGTAGCTAAATGGACAGTATGTGAGCACTTCACAATGTTAAAAGAAAAAGTGGAAAAAAGTAATAGGATAGCTTAAATGTTTTTGTGACTGAAATTGAAAACTTTGTTCCCTAGCTTTTATCAAGTAAATGCTACTCCATTTCCCCCCAGTATAATAGCAAATGAAGTTACAAACCAAATGACTATGACTTTTGATTGCAAAACTTGTTTTCTTGGAAAATTCGAGCACATGTGACTCTCTTATGAAGCTAGACATATGATCACACACATCATTTGGGTCTTTTGCTCGTGAGAAAGCAGGTGACTTTCCTATTGTATTTGTTGCCTCTTAGTAGCACAGTTACTTCAAGTGTAAAGATCACAAAGCCACTTCAGCTTCCTCTGTGCATGTGAGATGAAAGGATTCAGAGTCTGAGGTTTGAGGGGGGATGTATGTTATTTACCTATCATACAAACATCTCTCAGAAATCACCAGAACAATAACGCTGCTCTTTTTAATTTATTGATATAGTACATTCACACAATCTGCAGTTATCATAGCTGGTTGATCTAAAAAATATAGTTCCTGAAATTCCAGTTCTAGAGATTTTGGTCGTCTGCAGTGATCAGTTAATGAGCTGTTCTGATCATCACTGTGCTCTACAAGATCATCAAGAATTCAGGTAAGTCATTTATATATTCATTATAACTTCACTTTTTCCCAAGAGGCTGTATTAATGTTTCTATACTATCCAAAATGATTTTTTTGAAGTTGTAAGTAAAACAAAGATTACTGGACCATGTTTTACAAGAAATCAGTGTAACTTACCATTTCTTTGTAATTATTTCTAAACTTTACAAGGAAATTCTAAGTGAAAATTGTTTCAAAGTACTTTTTTTTTTTTTTCAGTGTACAAACAGAGAAGAATTGAACCTGGACAGATCTGTTCTGGCCAGTTTGTGACTGCGAAACAACATGACTGAGGAGTATACTGACATTTACAACAACATCGATGACTATGAAGACCAGTTGTGTCGCAAAGACGAGGTGGTAAAAGTCGGATCTATTCTCATTCCATTCTTTTTCACAGCAGTGGTTGTATTGAGCTGCATTGGTAACATCCTCGTTCTGGTTTTCCTTGCACTCTACAAAAGCCTCAGACGCTTCACGCTGACCAACGTCTTCATCCTCAATTTAGCTCTGTCAGATCTGCTGTTCACTTTTGGACTTCCGTTTTGGGCATCATACTATATTTCTGGTTGGACATTTGGAGAGGCTGGCTGTAAAGCTGTGAAGTTTTTCTTCTATGTGGGCTTTTACAGCAGTGTGCTGTTCTTGACTCTAATGACCGTTCAGCGTTACATGGCAGTGGTTCATCCTTTGCCCGACTGGGAGGGATGCAGAGGCCTTTCTGTATCTCCTTTTATCGTTTGGATCCTGAGTGGAACGGTTGCACTGCTCAGTTCACTTCATAGTGAAGTTATGATAGAATCTGACAGCCAATACTGTGAATATGGCAGCGTTGAATGGAAATCTGGCATTGCTTATTTTCAAAATGCTTTTTTCTTCATTGCATTTGTAATCATGGGTTACTGCTATGGCAGAATGCTTCGGACGATCACAAAATCACGTACTAATAAGAGACACAAGACTGTTAGACTAACATTTTTTATCGTGCTGTTGTTTTTTATTGGTTGGGCTCCATATAACATTGTCATGTTCTTAAAATCTTTGACAATCCATCCATTCACAGACTGTGAAGTAAGCATAAGACTTGACTATGCATATTATGCTTGCCGAATGTTAGCTTTCTCACACTGTTGCATAAACCCAGCGATTTTAGTTTTTGTAGATGCAAAGTTTTGTAATACTTTACGAGAAATTTCAAGGAGGTTTTGTTTTGTGTAAAGACTCACGTATATGAATAAATATAAATTCGTATTTTTGTTACACTTGGTAAGATAAGAGAGACTCGAGAGGAAAGAGACTTTAAGTGCTTAAAGGAAAAGTTCACCCGAAAAAGAAATTTGCTGAAAATGTCCTCACGCTCAGGCCATCCAAGAAGTAGAAGTAGTTTGTTTCTTCATAAGAGCAGATTTGGAGAATTTTTAGCATCACATCACTTAGTCAACAATGGATGCTCTGCAGTGAATGGGTGCCGTCAGAATGAGAGTCCAAACAGCTGATAAAAACATCACAATAATCCACACCACTCCAGTCCATCAAAGTGAAAATCTTATTTATGAGAAAGAAATCCATCAAGACATTTTTTACTTTAAACTGCTGCTTTCAGCTAAAATATGACTCCTCTATCAATATTATTATTTTGGCCAGTGAATAAATCGTCCTGTCTGAATCAGGAGAGAAATATTCACAGATCAAGCACAGTGTCTGTGGATTTTGATGTGAGAGAAGAATAGGGGATGGACTTTTTCACTTCAGGAAGCGTTATTATGGATTATGGCTGGACGTGATGCAGAGGATCCATTGGTGAGCAAGTGATGTAGTGCTAAATTTCTCCAAATCTTTTCCGTTGAAGAATCTAACTCATCTACATCTTGGATGACCCGAGGGTGGGTACATTTTCAGCAAATTCTCATTTTTGTGTGTATTATTCATTTAAAAATTTGTAAGAAAACAAACACTGAAGAATCTGTCTGCACATGGGATCATATCATAAAACAAATTACAAAGAACACCTGAAACAAAAATGTTCAGTGCTATATCTTTGTGTAAAAGCATGTTCTAATTTGAATAATCAGATTCAAGAATCAAGTCAATATTTCAAGGCAAATATGTTGTGAATGAAGTGTTGTGAACTTCTCAAATACTCCCACCTAAAATAAACCATGACAACTGTTTGTGAAAATGCAGATTATGCTGTTTTGTTTTTGTGCAGTGAAATACGTCAAATGTAGTCATGACTGGAAGTTGACTTTTTTTCTTTCACGTGACAAAGTGTAAATTGTGGTCTGTGGAAGGAAGCACAGCATCATCATTGACCTACGTAAACAGGAAAATGGAAGATTTGAGATCATACCAAACTTATTTTTTGCATGTAATTTTTAACAGGTAAATATCAACAATATTAGTATGTTTTTAGAATACATACTGCACACGAGATCCCTGCAACCATTATCACCTTTATAAAAGCAACAAACTTTTAGAACTTTTTAAATGGCATCTTAATTATGAAATAAATACATGATTGAAAAGCAGTTTCTTTATGTATTTAATGAGTCTGTCCTACTGTTGATTTTAAAATTGAAACAAAAGCAAGGGTTAGAGCTATGCCGTTTTACTTATTAACATGAAAATTAAACGAATCATGTGAATACTGTAATGTAAACCAACTGTTTTGAAACTCCCATTAACTGGAAACTACCTTAAAATGTTACTAAGGAATTTACACAACACTTTAAAGAACAACTACTTTCACTGTGAAAACGATACTTTCATTTCACGTTTGTAAAGGAAAAGAGAAATGGGTTTTGAGGTAGGTGTCTTTAACCCTCCCATTCAACATAAAAAAACACTCCAATATCCCTTCCAAAACATCCATAACACTACATATTAGCCTCAATTTGCTGTGCAGCTTGCCAGTTTTGAGTCATATTAGTACTATCAGAACTGACAAAAAATTAAGGTAAGAATACTCTTCTTTCTTATTAATAAATAAATGTTTTACTTAAATATCTAAAATTAATCAAATACAATAATAAATTCTAATGACAAAATTAATATGATTATATAGAGAACATCATGACTGAAGAGTATACCGAGTATCCAGAACCAGAAGACCAACTATGTCACAAAGAAGAGGTGCTCAAAGTTGGATCCATTGTTATTCCAGTTTTCTTTGGTGTTCTGGTTGTGTGTAGCTGCATTGGTAACCTGCTGGTTTTGGTCATCCTGCTGCTGTATGAGAAGTTTAGATTGCTGATCAACATTCTGATCTTCAATTTAGCTGTGTCAGATCTGCTGTTCACTTTTGGACTTCCATTTTGGGCTTTGTACTTCGTCTACGGTTGGACATTTGGAGAGGCTGGCTGCAAAGCTGTGAGATTTCTGTTCTATCTCGGTTTTTACAGCAGCGTGTTGTTCTTGACTCTAATGACCGTTCAGCGTTACATGGCAGTGGTTCATCCTCTGTCCGACTGGGAGGGATGCAGATGCTTTTCAGTAGCTCCCTTTATCATATGGATGTTGAGCGGAACAGCTGCACTGTTAGTCTCCCTTCGTAGCCAAGTCTTAGAACATGAAGGGAATCTTTACTGTGAATTTGACAGTATTCAAGTAAAACATGCCGCTGTTTATTTACAAAATGTTTTCTTCTTGATTGCATTTTGCATCATGGGATTTTGTCACGTTAGAATGTTCCAGACAATCGCACAATCCCGAACAAAGGGGAGACACAAGACTATCAAACTGATATTCTGCGTTGGGCTGTTATTCTTCATTGGATGGGCTCCATACAACATAGTCATGTTCTTGAGAATTCTGCAGGATTATGGTTTGTCTTCATTCGTAGACTGTAGTGTATCCATTCGTCTTGATTATGCATTTTACACTTGCCGGCTGTTGGCTTTTTCACATTGCAGTTTAAATCCAGTGCTTTATGCTCTAATTGGAGAAAAATTTCGGAAACATTTACAAACAATATTGAAGAAAATGTGTTCAAAATAAAGCAATTCCGACCAATCCTGAGACAAATTACTTGTTGTTTTTGGTGTGTTTGTTAAATGCAACAAATCTCACAATGCATAGGCTACCACTCAAAATTTTGGGGTCAGTTTTTTTTAATTTTTATTATTAATACTTGATTCAGCGAAGATGCATTAAATTGATCAAAAGTGACATTAAAGGCATTTATAAAGTTATGAATGTTAAGATTTCTATTTGAAATAAATGCTGTTCTTTTGAACTTCGGAAAAAAAAAAGTATCAATGTTTCCTAGGGATGCTCCGATCAGGATTTTTGCAGCCGATACTGACTACCGATTTCTTGTCATGGTGATCGACCGATGCCGATTCTGATGCTTCAAGCTTTATATAGACGGTTTCATCAGGCGCACGCGCCTGGCCCGAAGTTAACTTCCGGTCTGTGTTTGTTTATCAGTTTAAACACAGTTAAAGTTAAGGTGATGAGTAGACTGAAGTTGGGCTCAGGTGGTTGTGCTGTGGGATGTGTTTCCCATACATTTATTTATTTGTGGCGCT